TCTGTATACGTGGCTTCTCCGTCCTTGTGGTCCTCCTCTTGTGGCTGTTGCGGCGTCGGTGAGACGGGTAAAATTGTACAAGGTCTCCGGGAGCCGCCGATACGCTAAGTTAACTAATCGAGATCGCTACGGACTAAAAGTAATTACAAACGATAATCGGTATTCGGGCGCGGGAGCCACGCAAACGTAGTCCCGCAGCCCGCGCCACGCGTCCGCCTCCGAAATTCGGAAGGACACAGGACTCGAAACTACCGCCCGCGGTCGGGTCCGTAGATCCCTTGTGACGGACGGTCCAAACAGGGACGTCACGTCACAGTATATTTTTATAAATTAAAATTTTGGGGGTCACTGAATACGAATCCACAGTCATAATTATAAAATTTAAAATGACGGATCTAATATGGCCGTCTGAAATTTCAAGAATTCTTTTGATTTGCATGAAATTTGGTATTCGGGGGTTCTTTGAGTCGCTAATTATGAATCCGTATCCAGATTTGCAAAATAGGCAATAGCACATCCAATATGACCGACCAATGGTTAAAATTATGATAATTGTCTCAGTTGCCCTGTAAATCCGTATCTGAAGTTTTTCAGATTGCCCTCGAGGTCTTTGTAATAAATTTTCAGCCAAATTTTCGAAATTGAATATGGGAAATTAAATCTAGATATATACATACATACATACATCCATACATACATACATACATACCTACATACATACATATATACCTACATGCATACATACCTACATACAAACATATATACCTACATACATACATACCTACATACATATATACATACTTACATATATACATACATACTTACATACCTACATACATATATACATACCTACATATATACATACATACATACATACCTACATACATATATACATACATACATACATACCTATATACATACATACATACATACATACATACATGCATACATACATATATACATATATACATACATACATACATACATACATACATACATACATACATACATACATACATACCTACATACCTACATACATACATACATACATACATACCTACATATATACTTACATACATACGTACATACATACATATATACCTACATACATACGTACCTACATACATACATACATACATACATACATACATACCTACATACATACCTACATACATACATACATACATACATACATACATACCTACATACATACATATATACCTACATGCATACATACCTACATACAAACATATACACCTACACACATACATACCTACATACATATATACCTACATACATACGTACATACATACATATATACCTACATACATACGTACCTACATACATACATACATACATACATACATACATACATACATACGTACATACATACATACATACATACATACATACATACCTACATACATACCTACATACATACATACATACATACATACATACATA